CTGGATCAAACATCACTGGTCATTGACATAGTGATGTTTGATCCAGTGGGATGTGGGTTTTATCGCGCCATGTGTAAGGAATTTTGAGTATGTCAACATTCTGACTGGTCTCTTTCACTAGTAACGTTTTTGTTACCGTCAACACGTTTGATCAAGTGATCGCCTAATAACTGTTGCGGGTTACGCAACGACAAAGTTCTTCTGATTGCCTTCTGGAGTAGAGGGAGATGGGGTCGACATACGAATATNTACTGATTTAAATATTGACGCGAATAAGATGGATGATCTTGAATATCCAACTCAGGTTCACTTGGTGAGTTGTTTCCAATAGGTATTGGCATATCGTCCATTTCACTCTGTCCTGGTCACCGGAGATGGTTCACTCTTATTATCTTAGAAAATTGTCTTATTGTTTGGTCTATCTAGCTCGCTCCACGAAGGAACTTGAGAGCAGTGTAATGGAACAGTCTCTCTTTGAGGTAGAAACGAAATTCGGAGGATGTAGAGAAGCTAATGCGCGGTAATGTCGTTTTATATGCTGGGTTCACCGTTCATGTCGCTTAATCAGTTGCCGCATCACCCTTGAATGGTCAATGCGTGCCCCGGGGTTTCCCGCCTAGTCTAAACAGTTTGCGTCAATCGTTTGTCAAAGTAGCAATCGGGATAGCTATTCTCCCATAAAATAGTTTCATTTTGTCGAAGGTTTGAACTATCTGTGTTTGTCCCGTCTCTTGTGTGATGAACAACAGACGAGGGCGAACCTCGTAGTCGCAAAGACTTGCTGTTCAGTGATGGAAATCGGCATCATAAACTTCGAGTGGTGAACCATATAGGGCCCCGCTAGTATGATAACAAAGCTGCCTACAAACATTAGTGAACCATGATGAACTGGTATCTCATCACCATTGTCATCAACTCCGTGCCCGTTACAAAATCATCATCGTACAGCGAGATACAGTGAAGCGAGCTTCACTGATCGCTGCCAAGCTCACAATGTACACAAATCAAGTGATAAAGCACAAGATGGAGAGGGATTGGGCCTATTTGGAGGGAGGCAAAGAAAAAGAACCTCTATGGACAACACACAGAGCCCACAATCTAAGTGTTCATGCATACTTTTTTTCAAGCATTTTGCTTTGTTAAGAAATTTCAACAAGAACGCCACTGCTCTTGGTTAGTCGCAATATCCTCTAATGTCTCCAGCCAACCAGCTGTAGAGTCTTTCGGACCCCAATCTGGAAGACGGGAGACATCGATTCCACCTAATCGCTCTGTGCATTTCTTAATGCCTCGCTTCCACGTCATCTGTTGACCACCACGCGGTTTCTTCCAACCTGGAGCTGCAAGTGCAAATAAGGCGCGGTGCGGCAGGCGATGACTAGACATGCACAATACGTGTCCTAACCAGCGAAGCCGACTAATCTGAATTCGATGGGACAACGAATGCTCCATCGAATCATTACCAAATACGCGACACCTCACCTCAGAGTTGCTTACAAGCTCGCTCCATCCAACCCGCGCCAAACTACGTAAACATCTGCAGTCGAATACTTCAAGACGACGAATATCTTCCACGCGCAAATTTGGGGTCTCTCAGTCGTAGAGCAGAACTAACCGCACATTGGCGCAGTATACAAGACCTTTCAGTTTCAACGAAACATTGCGTCTGCACCATAGGTGTTTCAATCCTGCGTAAGCTGCTCGAGCCTTGAAAATGCGGGTGGTTACTTCATTGACTATGCTACCGTCATTTGAAACGCAGCTACCTAAGTGAGTGAAACATTCCACTACAGCTAATTCTTGACCATCAAGCATAATAGCTGGGGTAGACGACACCCAGTCTTGTAGCATCACTTTGCACTTTGAAGGTGCAAAGCGCATGCACGTGATTTCGACAGGCAGACCGCACAGCATTCGCACCACCGACTTCTGTTCTGGGCTATATCTCTCAGCGTCTCTGACAAACGACAATCTCTTCGACCCCAACCTAGAAGGCGGGTTGCACCAACCGAAGCCAGCTTCTTCATACCTCTATACCATGTCAGGGTCTGAGCGTCGCGACGCTTCTTCTAGCACGCGCAAACAGCACGGAAAGGTAGTCGAAGGACAGGCATAAACAATACATGATCAAGCCATCGGAGGCGGTGTAGAGCGATTACTTCTGTCAGAGGACGCTATCCATACCCAACACGATGACAAACCTCGTTAGAGCCAACTCGATTTTCCCACCACACACGAGCAATGCTTCGGAGACATCGGTGGTCGAATATAGAAAGTCGATTAGCATCCTCAACTCGGAGAGGCCAGGTCTCGCAACCGTAAGGCAAACGCTAACCCTTAAGGTATAGTCAGATGTCTTGGCGGCGCCACATTTGTCGCAGGCTTTCGAAAGCTCCGGAGGTAGTTAAAGCTCTCAACTACTTCCAGCTAATCATCACCGAGGGTGAGTGCAGGCACAGACTCCTGCCAGTCTTGAACAAGCACTTTGCACTTGGAAGGTGCAAAGCATATGCCGTACCTGGATACCTCTATCGCCAAGCGGTTCAGAGTGTCTTTGTGTTGTCACCCAGCAAGGCGATATCATCGGCATATTTTAAGTCAAGGACTCTGTTCCCTGAGAGGAGTTTGACTACGCCGTCTGCTGGATCGGACAAAGCGTTTTGTAGAACATCCTCTATGACAAAGTTGGAAAGGAATGGGGATATAGGGCAACGTTGTCGAACTCCAATGGAGACGGCGAAGGGTGGTGAAAGCTGGCCATAGGCCCTAACCTGACCTGAGGTATGACGATACAACTTTTTGAGGATCGACACATGCTTCTCAGGTACGCCATTCCTGAAAAACAGTTCCATAGTTTGGTCCTATCGACAGTCGGAGGCCGCTCGAATGTCTAAGAATACCATGACCGTTGGTCTTTGATAGGCATAACGGTAATCTAATAGCTGTCGGATGGTGAAGGTTTGTTTGATGCACCCACGATCGGCGCGAAATCCGGGTTGCGGATAGGGGAACGGTCGCTAACTGGCGGTTAACTGTGAATAGGGTGGGTTCATTCCCACTGAATAAGTGGTCGCGGACGATCAGCGGTAGTGCTCGAGGATGTGGTGGGTTTACCATTTGGCTAGGGTTCTTCACGCAAAAACTACGTATCTTATGACAGCGCTGGGATTTGGTGAGTGTGGCCCGCCATTGAATACGGCCATTACCCCCTTGTCGAATTCCATCAACCCAAGGTCTTCCATAGAAGACGAATGAACCAACCGACTGATCACCGGCTTATCTGGAGCAATACTGCTACCTTGTAGCTCGCGCTTGTTTGCTTAAATGCTAGAGTGCATCCTCGAACAAGGCCAACTCTGTACTGGACGACTGAGTAGTACAACAGCCCACAATGCAAACAATGAACTTCAGCTTAATCAATAACTCGCTCTTTCACTTCTCGTGCATGAAAAAAAACGGTTTACACCGTGCACATCTTCCTTTTTCCTCTACCTCACATACACCCCCCTCAAATATTCCCATTCTTATTAAGATCTTCAGACAATCGTACTACCAGTTATGCTTCCGATGGAAATTCCGTCTCTTTTCTCGCTTCCTGCCTCGAATAGCGTCCAAGTCTCACCGAGGCTTCCTCCGTCAGTTGAAGCTCTTGTTCACCCCCGTCCGTATTGGACCACGGATGCCTTAGAAGCATTGCTCGTGTCTGGTGGGAACATTGGGTGAGCAGTGACGAAATTCGTCGTCATGTGCTGGATACTGATAGTTCTCTAACGGAAGATATCGTTCTACACCGCCTCCGATGGGCGGTCATGTTTTGCATATGCCTGCCCGTCGACTGCCTCGCCGTGCTCTCTGCACGTATTGGGCAAGGTTGGAAGAAGCTTCGCGGCGGTCAGACCATGACGTGGTGTAGAGGCATTAAGAAGCCGGTTGGTGCAGCTCAGAATAGATGTCAGTGTCGCGGTTGCTATGCGGTTTGTTTGGCAAAACCCCGTTCCCCATAACAAAAACATCTTCAAAAGTGTACGGTGAAACTACAAAAATCCCTTCATTTATACATTCGTTCTCCGTGTGTTCTGTTTTTCCCATTTTCATCTAATCTTTTTGTGCCCCTCAATAACTTTATTATTGTTTTGCATTAGCACCATGCTTGTTCTCAAGCCGGTGATATATATATATATGCTTCTCGCGGGTCTGCTCCTCACGCATAGTGTACACTCGGCGGAGGATGACGGACGCCAACAGCTTTGACGCTATCGGGATTAGGCTTATACCCCTATGATTGGCGCAGTCATTGCGCGGGCCCTTTTGAGAATGGGGACGACAATCGATTCCCCCCACGAGGAGTGTTCCACACTTTCGAGAACAGAACTTGTAGTTCTCTAACAAGCTTAATTCTAGCATCTTTAAATAGGGCTGAGGAAAGGCCATCAGAGCCCGGCGCTTTGTGACGTTCCAAGGCTTGAATCTCCTTACGGATTTCCGCCTCAGAAGGTGGATCTGTTGTGGCAGGCCATGGGACATGTGCCGGAACAGCTGTGTGAAAAGCTGATGTTGGTGGCTAGCTAAGCTGTGCCTTGAAGTGCTCCCCTCAGCGTTCAAGACGTCGCTGTTGATTGTGAATGGGCGAACCGTCAGCTTCGAAGATCGTTCTGCTCACACCCAAGGCTTTCCTACCGGTGACCCGGATGAGATGGAACAGCTTACGGGAGGTTCACATGGCGGCAGAACGTTCCATCTCCAACGCGAGTTTAGTCCACCGAATCTCGAGGGGGTTTGCGTAAGCTTGCGCTTAGTTTACGACTCGTTACGAGTCGTATTTCGTTAAACTCGCTGCCGGTCGGAATTGATCGGTGTGCGTCGAGAAGGCGTGGAGATTCCTCAGAAATCCAGGGTTTCGCGGCACAGTGTGTCAGACCACAACTAACTAAGCCAGTCATTCTTGATAAGCGACCAGTGCTGGTTTACATTGTCGGGTGGGATTGGTTCTAGCTTTTCAGCTAGCACGTTCTGAAAGACAGTTGGGCGTGCTGGTTGAGACAACTTATCAGCCTAACCGTCGTTGTGTCGTGCGTTTGTAACACTCACCGCAGCACATGGACAGCTTGGCGCAAACTAACGCATAGTCGGATTCGACGGGAGTGCTCCAGTATGATCGGTATTCTTGTATACAACCCCGCCATTTGTGGTTTGTAGCGATGTGGTCGATCTGCGTACGTCCCTTACTCGAGGAGGGCGAACGCCAGATAGCGTACCGGCATTTGGAGCGCCCGAGGTTCATGCTGGTGAGGAATAGGCGGTGGTCAGAGCGGAGAGCCAAGAGTCGTTTTCCGAGTGATAGGAATCTAGTCCAAAAGGACCTCCCAGATGCGCCTCACTGAAAGTAAGCCAACCTACCCTACCATTCATATCTTCTGCTAAAATCACCATATCAGCCCGCCTCGCTTTACGCAACAGGTCGTGTAGGTTATGATAAAATTCATCTTTGACTGCATCTGGACTGCAGTCCGTTGTGGCGTACNATCTCCTGCTAAAATCACGATATCAGCCCTACTCGCTTTACGCAAGAGGTTATGTAGGTTATGATAAAATTCATCTTTGACAGCGTCTAGGCTGCAGTTCGTTGGGGCATACACCGACACGACAAACAGGTTTCATCTATCGGGGCGACGGCTGCTTACTTTGCACGCACCTCTAAGTCTCACTGCGCACAACCTACTGTCGACTGGGAACCAGTCCAGGAGCGTGACTTCAGCTGTCCCACTGAAAGCCACCAACGCCAGCAAGACCGGAAGCCGCAGTCTCAGGGTCCTCAGAGAGGCGTATGTGAAAATTCACAGATTGGTTTGTTAGAGATATCAATCGGATGATGGAGCAGGAGTTTTGAATGCGAGTCTCTTGGATACAACACATCGATAGCTAGGGTCTCGAGCGTACGAGCTAACCCGGCCCTTTGTCATTTACGCATCAGTTTGCACATTAAATGTGGCTAGTTTGAATGGGCATCGAGGGCGAAGAAGGGCTTCAGCTGGTGGAGGATTCGGTGAGGCTTGGATGTTAGTCGAGGTAGGACATGAGGGAAAAGCAACATAGTTTCCATCTGAGGCATTAGTGTTTGCACGATCGTCTGAAGATCCCGAGAAAGAGGGTGGACGTGGTATAAGGGAGGGCTCGGGGGACATGATTGTGTGTACGTTGTAGAGTGTTTGTCTCTAGTTGCAGAAATTGTAGACTGAATGCACATGAAAGTCGAAGAGTTCATCGTTGCTGGCGTTGTGGGCTGTTGTACTACTCGGTTGCCCGGTCCAGAGTAGGCCTTGTTCAAGGTGCACTCTAGCCTTTGCGCAACCAAGCGCGGACTGCAAGGCATCAGCGATGTTCCAAATGAGCCGGTGGCCAGTATTTATTTTATTCACCTCTTCTGGAAAACCTTGCCGCACAGTAGATTTCGATAAGGGGCGATAGCCATATTTAGTTGCGGGCCGCACTCGCCACGTCATAGCGCGGTCCACAGATGTGTGGTGTTTTGTGCTGGGTACTCTTGCCAGGAAGTAAACCTACCACGATGTGACGTTGCTTAAACCAAATGGCATTCGGAGCAATTCGAATAGACCAAAAGGTGTGACTACGACTGTTTTGGGGATGTTTGCTCCTGCTACCGGTATCTGGTTGTATGCGCGAACAAGATCGGTGCGGCTGAAAAGAGTTCTACCGGCTAGGTCTGATGTGAGATCCGTTATGTGGGGGATCGGTTACCTATCCGGGGTTGTCACGCGGTTGAGTGCGTGATAGTCTCCACATGGACGCCAGTCGTTGGACGACATTTTGGGGACCATGTGTAGAGGGCACGCCCATTGACTTTCAGAGGGGCGGATGATACCCATGTTCAGCATGTGCTGAAACTCTGCGCGTGCGTAACTTATATGGTGCCAGTCGACGGTGACTTACGTGGGCTGGTGAACCTCGAGTGATAATGTGGTGCGACACCTCCGTCGTGATAGGTGGCAGCTCGGTACTTGGGCGGACGAGGCTAGGGAACTCGCGGAATAATGATGAATATGGCGAACCATTGTGTGGAAAAGGGAGGTGTATATTCTACGTTTGGGAATATACCAGGGAACCGACGACTACTCTAGAAAGGACTGGGTCTCTAATCTGTAGCGTAAGGAGATCTACGATTAGACCGTGGTGCTGTAAAATGTCTAGGCCAAGTATTGCTTAAGGAACCCGAGCAACCACTGAAACTCAAGATAAGACGCGTCCCAAACCTAGCTGTAAGTTCAGTAGCGGCTGTCCATAGGTTTGGATAGGGGTACCGCTGGCTGCCTGCGAAGTTTCTGTCATACTTTATTGTTCTCCAGTTACCTTTCCTGCCATACCAAAAATGGATTCTTTACTCTTCGTCGCGGTTTTGTAATTACCAGTCGTGTTTCTCTTATCCCCTTGAGCACCAATCACAAAATTGTGATTCTCGTATTACTTTATATGATAATTTCACCCATAAGGTACTCCCCGACTCCAGTCATCCACTCAATTCCGATCTACCTGCCCTCCGTTCCCACACTACAACTAGATCAAATCTCGCTGCTTACCCTCCCGCATAAACGTTTATCGCAATTCGACGGTACCCTATCTGGCTCTTCTAACTGGCAAATTGACGATCCCAAATGAAATAATTTTAAGCCTATAAAGGTGGTCTTCTCTTTAGGTTTTATCATTTTTGTATAAGACTTCATTTTGATCTCATTGTAAGGATGAACACATTTTTTTACCTGAAATGTAAGTATGATTGCCTGCACAAGTCATTATAATACAATAAGAAAGTGGTATAACGGAGAACATATTCAAATACACACGAGTCATCTAAAACATAAATGCTGTCATCAAAACGTTTTCACCTCAAAGGAATGACTTTCCTAGTTAATCTATGCTATCACAAAAAGCAACCCACCATTCTGTCAGCAAATCTCTCACCCGAATCAACCGGCGGGTTTATCCTCCCCCTATTTGAATGTGATTGTATGGCCCACGGTAGGTCCTGACCGTTCTCATTTTATGCTCAGATTTCGTCGTGCATTTGATTTGTTTGGTGTGAACTGGACCTCGCTTCCTGAGATGAATGTATATTGCTTTTCTCGTATTTCTGAGTTCGGACTACGTCAAACAACTTGTAGTGCAGTAATCTTTGTGAAAAGGATAAGTTCCATGTTTTACTCGTGGGCAGGATACGGCCATGTTAAGGAATTCCCTACTGGGGCCTTTCACTATTCAAAGCCTGGCCCGCATGGCAGCGGGGCGAGATGTGAAATTCTGATATAAAAGTATAAGTGTCACTGGTTGTTTACGCCAACAGTCGTTTCCAAGGTGCTCATATGGAGCCAATAGGATCTCTTTTACTACGCCTTCTGCTCCACACGGGATGAGATTAGTTGTGAAACCACTGTTCGGTAATAAGCCTTATCGAACCGCGTTTCTGGTTCGTGACCCGATCGGGTAATTTTTTCACTCTGCTGAGAAGTGTTACACCATTTAAACGCTGTCGCCGTGATATTCCACACATTAGTGGCTGATATACTTATTCTGCTGTCACCACCCAGCCTAGTGTTGTGGAGATTGAAAATGTCTGCCGTTTATATCAAGATCTACACGTACTTCTAGTTCCGTTCAATGGAAAAAGGGGTGTT